TAATGATATCCTACATATTATTATCAAGAAATATAAAACTTTTATTTGAAATTACTTAAAATTTGTAATAAGTAAGCATGATATTCACACTTTGAGTATACAATGTCAAATACAATTCAATATTTTTTCGTATCACAAGCATATTATCAAGATTACAACAGGTAACAATTTTTATGAATCAACTTAATTCTGTTAAATTAATCTTTAGTATCTATATGTTAGTCTCAATAAAAATTTAACATAGATCGTGAAAGTCTAACATAAACAATTGTTCAATAACTTAGAAGATGGTATAAATAAACGGATTTAAACGAAAACATCACTAAAAGTCAAGAACAGCATGTTAAATTACCTAAGTTTAAATATAACGTAATTGGTGATTCATTTAGTAATGAACCGATGACGATTACTAAACCTGCTCTAGTGATTAACTAGAAATTGTGGTAAATTCTCGTGATAGCTCGATAGTATGGAATACATTAGATATAGAATATTTAATGCAAACTGTAACTGTATGGTAAACATATACATATTTTAAATATCTGCATTATGTGTTTATTGCGTGTACACAATAATATTTTAAGAAAATTTGTGTTTTATTTATAATACAATTGTTATTAAACGATACTAATCATACAATCTAAGATGCTCTATGATTCGTTATGAACACAACGTTGAAGAAATTGTGAGAAATATATAGATTTATACTTTGTTATATGAATTTAATAGAAATTCTTCATATTTCTTAATCTAGTAGAAAAATTCTATAAGATATAGACCATCATATCAATAGAAAGACTTGGCAGATTAAACGAATTTCATTATTCATTGATTCTCGGCGTTAGTCTTTCCAAAATCAATGTACATCTCTTGTGCCACATCTTAACTATTATATTATCAATTGATAGTTACTTAATGAAATATTTCAAGAATTTCTCGGAAAGTACATTATTCCGCTAAATTTTTAATAACTACCAATATAAATTTTTAATTTTATATGTAGCATAATAATATTATACTTTTTTTTTTATATATAAATAAGACATTCCCAGTCTATAAGTTATATATATCTATGGATTATACAGGAAATATATTTTGAACTATTTTAATAGATAATTATAAATATAAATATAAATATGAACAGATGTAAGTACAATAATAATATTATACTACACTAATAATATTGTTAAAATAGTATTTAAATAATAAAACCATAATATTTTAACCATAAATATATTTATAATTCCAGTTTTTTAAATATATTATTGTAGTATTAAATAAAGATATCAAGATCCATCCTTAGAGTGACCCAAAACCTGATGAATTGACGTAATGAGGAAAGATTTATCAATGATAGACTGGAACGTGACCTTTCGAACAACGTATCAGAGAGATAGATGGGGAGATTTTGATGGTAAAGCTGATACTGAATGGACCGTTAAGTTGACGAAGAAGAAATAGAAGTATTTAAAAAACCGCTTTTTACTTTTTTATAGCTATAAACTCATACTAACATCAAATGTTATTTTGTTTTATATTACATGTTTCAGAAAGTTATATATGATACTGTTAAAACAATCCTTTGATCGGTAAAAAATAAAAATAAATGGAGTAAATAGAAAACTGCGATAGTAAGTGTTGAGGGACTGTGTACATATGACGATTTCAAAAGGTTGGAAATCGTAAACAAGTATAACAATAAAAAAAGCTGATTTAGCCATGGGCAAGTTTTGAGAACATTTTAAAAGACAAATAAAAGATTATACTCAAATACATAAACATAGATAGATACATAGTTTATTTGTGTGTGTTTGTGTATACAATATACAAACTTTCTTCTACATTAATATTTATATATAATGACATAAGTTGTAAAATTGTGAACATATATCTATGATAAATAATAAAATAAAACCGTATACGTAGTATTAATGTGTTTAAGCATTTTAAACCTATGTGTTGACATGTTGTTATTAATTCACATTCTCGTAAATTAAATATAATTCATTGTAATTATACCTAGATGATAAATGTTAATGTATATATATATATATATATATATATATATATATATAGCATAGGTGTAATAAATATGTATAATTAAAAAAAAAAAAAAAAAAAAAAAACGGTAAATAAATTTAGGTTGCATAATTTCAGTAGTTATACACATTATAATATGTTTACAAACTACAAGCAAACGTCACACATGCATTTTTGCAAGTGATATAACTCATGTCGTAATTGGTAAAACTTTAGAAATAATGGTATCAACAATTGTAGAATAATAACGCAATTGTTTTGTAGTAAACATAAAACTTTGTTAATTATATAGTATGTGTGAGTACATTTTTTAGGCTTCTTTTAAATATTGCGATTTATTTTAGGAACCTACTTTTGAGTAATTAATAGAAAAATCATAAAAGTAATAAAGGTAAAAAAATTATAATATCATTATTAAGGGATGGTATTTGTATGTTTTTTGTTTGTTTTCTTAAAAATTAGATAGATAATGTACAAATTTATATTTAAGCATCATCATTTTTTGGGCAATATTTTTTTAATGTACTCAGATAATTTTTCATTATTACTCATATATTTTAAAACTGATTAAAAGTAAAGTACTTTAAGTAGGTATTTAATTTAGATTATGAACGATAAAGCAAAACAACTTATAAATTAGAATTTTCTACATTTTTGTACCTGCCAAAAAATATTTTGCATTAAATCTATAGTTGTTAATATTTGTTCTTTTATTATTTTTTTTTCCGTTATTTATGATTCAAAAAAAAAAATAAATAAATAAATAAATAAATATATGCATAAGTTCATTGAAAAACGTATTTTAAAAATATTTTTACACTTAAGTTATTATCAAATTTATGTTATTCTTAAATTTACTGAAAATGGTACATTTAGGTAAATTCAAACAAGGTACCAGTTTAGCCTATGTTATATTAACTCGTGGTTTTGTTTTTCATTTATATAATACATGTTAAACATTATATTTTCTGATAATATTACGGATTCTTATTTACTTATTATTGAAACTTAATTTTACGTCTAACAGACATAGTGTGATTTTTAATTTTTCTTTTATTAATTATTATACTTCAACATGTAATTTCAAGATTTTTAAGGATTTTATCCTTTATCATATTCATTATTATTTATTTTTTTTATCAAAAATAAAATATTATAATTATTGTATTTTATTTTATCACTATTCGTTCAAAGTCTATAGTAAATCATAAATAAAATAAATATATTGCTTCATATCTTAAATTGTGATAAACAGTCAAAATACATCACTGAATTTTAAACTTTTACCAAATTTGATGTTTATAAATAAATATTTTGTTGGATAAATAAACAATTTTCTTAGCATTCCTATATTATATAAATGAAAAATAAAAAAATAAAAAGGAAATAACATTTCAATTACGTGGAAAACTTTATGCCAAAGCTATTATCGTCGAAACACGTATTTAATATTTAATGGTAAAGCATAACACACATTCTTTTAAGGTAGTATGTGACTGCTTTTACGACAGCAAACGAACCGTATTTGATGTATGTAAGTTTGATGTTAAGAAGTTTGTCAAACCACATAAAAATAATGGCTTCGACATTTCGGTCACACACCTTAAACACATTTTTGATTTTATGATTTAGTAATCAAAGAAACATTTGACTACACTTAATAAAATTTTAAGTGCCCATTTTATTTATCTTATTATTCTTAAGGTAAGTTTTCTATAGAATTTCAAAATATTATAATAATTTATTTTGGTTAAAAATATAAATTTAAAAAATTAAAGTATAATTTTCTATTAAATTAAAATTTTTATCTGTAAATAATTTTTAAATCATAAAATACATTTTTTTTTAATCATAAATCTAGATAATTAGTTGAGTATAAATCATAAATTTAACAGTCATGGTTTTTAAATTTCATATCATCAACTATTAAAACAAAATTTTCAGCAATTTATTGATAAATTGATAATTTTATATAATTTCACAAGATAACTCTTATAGTAAATATTGGGTATTATAAAGTAATTTTAAAACGTCGTTCTAAACATTTCGACTGAAATATATTTGAATGAAAAATTAGATTTTTAAGAATGATCAATGAAGTAAACTGATGTAGTGAGCTGGGCTCTTAGTGAATCTATTTATAATCCATTTATTTTATAAGGTAAATGTTTATGCAATGTATCTTGTGATAAAGCGAACGATTAGAGATGACAATTAACAAACACTTATTTTCTGAAGGAAATCAACTAGCAAGTATTAATATTATCATTAAATTGATTATAGATAACTCTTTATTATTATTAAATACTTTATAAAGAAATTGAACTGTTTGTTATCTATTTATTATACATCGTAGATTCATAAATCATAAATACTAAAGCTTAAATTCAAAGGATTAATAGAGTTGTATTAACTGGTTATATTGTATACTGTATTTCATAGATATGAATAAATATATTTATAATGCATATATTATATACACCATGTTACATTATTACCATAAAATTAAAATAATTTGGTATGTAAACTATAATTATTCACATTGTACCAAAGTCGCAAAAACAAAATGACCATAGAATAGAACTATTTATTGTTGTTCACAGGTCCCGAATAACCTTTTTTGTATTCCTCACCAAGATGAATTAATAAATTATATTGTCCTATATTTTGAAACAACTTTAAGGACCACATTGCTTTTAATGAAATTATTTTCAATACCTATACAATTATACTATACTGAAATATTATTAAACACCTATATTGGACGGCATTTATAGTTTAAAAATATAAACTATTCAATACTTGGCAGCGGATTTTTGTATATAAAGTTGTGTTACTCTGGTATTCTAATGTCAAAAAATTAAATAAATACTTAAATCATACTTACATAGTTATTAAAGATCAATGACCATCATGTACGAGTATTTCTAAATATTTTTATAAAAAATAACATTCCTTACCTGGAGTTCATCCAACAATACACGATAGGGTTGTGCATAGAATTGGACATGGCTAGCCAGTAAAAGGCCAAATATACGTCTTGTATGTACGGTGCATTAGTTAATTCCGGCATATGAGATGTGACAATGAAGTAAATGTGATACGGCAGCCAACAGATTGCAAAAATCGTTACTACAACGATCATCATTTTCACGACCTTTAAATAAAATTGAATACATTTTACCACATGGAAATATTAGATAAAAACAATTGTTTTTTACGTGTACTTAAAATTATAAGTAAGTTATAACAGAAAAATGATTATCATTTCGGTCGTAAAAAAAAAAAAAAATTATAATAATTGACAGTACTACTAAAATGTGAAAACTAAAAATATAAACTATTAATTACTGCTACTGTAATGTATGTTTTCATAATCATGTAAATATATAATATATGGGTACCTAATATAAATTTTTTAAAATTTTCAGTTTTATAATAATTAACAAGTTAACAGTTTATCATATTTGTAAATTTTATGATTTATGTTTTCAATTTAATTAATTTAAACATTGTAAAGTTATTTGATTTAATCAGTGCACAGATATTATTATAGAAATTAAAATAATTAAGATTTAATTTCACTTCAATATATTTTTTTATTAGTTATAAGTAACAGAAAACATTAAATTACTATTAGATTTGAATAATTTGTATGTAAATGATTATAGTTACTTAAAGTGCTGTTCTTGTTAATAGACGATTGAGATAAATAAAAAAAAAATTACGGAAATCGCCTTATGATATATTATTAACATAAATAAATCATTACATATTATATCTTATTAAAAATTCTTCACAAATTTTTGTACATTTAAATTTTTAATACATAAATATAATGCTTATAAAACCACTTAAAATAATAAATCAATTAAGATGGTTAAAATATATTAAGCAGAATATATATAAAAAAAAAAAAATAAAGTTGGTTTTTATATTTTACAAAATTTATTTTTTGAATAAATTATTTATAAGATAATATGTAATTTATTTCTTATATTTATATAATATAGTGTAAAGTGATAGGAGAGCACGAATAGTCAAAATAAAACAAATATTTCTATAATAAGTAAATATATATATATATATATATATTAAAAGTGGTGTACCCTTTCAATAACATACCAAATAGATGATTTATTTAAGCAAAAAATGCCTTGTTTATTTATAATAAAATGCATATTAATGCATATACAACATAATGTTAAAGAAATAAAAGATAGAATAGAAAAATATACAGAACTACTTTTATAAACCACTAACTAGTTTAGGAAGTTCCCCTAGTTACACAGTGAAAATAATATTTAATAATTTAGAATATGGTGTAAAGGTTCTAATATGATGTTTATTTATTAATTCAAAACAAACTATATAAACAAAACTATGTAAATAAACGGGATAATTAGGAACCACTTTGATATATAAGTATGTGTCATTGAGGATTTAGTTCCTATAATGTATGTAATAAATTTATATTTGACGATAAATATTGCACATGACAAATGATTTTGACCAATGATGGTTAGGTTAGCTTATATTAGTAGGTTAAATAAATTTTTAATGAAAAGATTGCGTTTGAAATGTTGTCATGTGTATAAAATATATAATATAATATACGTTAAAAGTTTTAAGTACCCACGATTAATATTTTTAAATTACAAAAAACAGCTAAAATTATTATTCTTTGTTTAAATATCAAGTTTTGCTAAATTTTTAAATTAAAAAAGCTATAAAATAAATCTGTGTTTATATATTATTTAGATTTTTTGGTCCCATTATGGTCTACTTATTAAGAATCGTGAATTTTATTTTTAAGACTTAGTTATAAAACTTAACATTTCAAAAAAGTGTAACTCCCAAATAGTTTGCAAATTTTCATAATTTTGAAGAATTTTGCTAAAATGTTAACTTCAAATGCTTATTAAAAATCAATTTTTGACTAAATAAAAATTATTTAATCGATATTTATAAAACTTTTACCATCGATAGAAAATATGTTTAAACATTTTATGAAAATTATCTACTGTTATTCATTTTGAATCAAACAAAAAAAAAAAATCGATGTTTTTTTAATACTAGTTTGTGTAAAAACGTCTGTTTCCATAACATTTTGTTGTTTTTTTTTGGTGATTAATTTAAAAAGTACCAGAATTTATTACTTTTAACTCTCCCCCTCCCCCAACGTAGTAACTTAATCTAATTTTCTACTAAGAAGAATAAAAGTAAACGATCACAGAGATAAAAAACATAATTTTAAAACTAGTACATTTATCGACCAGCTTAGAATATAAAATTAATTTGTACAATAATAAATAAATGGCCTTGATAAGGTACCTATATATATTATATGATCAAATCATAAAGTTTCAATATGCGTAAATATAAATATAATATTTTAACTTGACTATATAATGTAAGATATATAGCGTAAGATATAATATAGCTTATAATTTAAATATACCTGTATATTTACAAATTACGTAATAACTTTAGCTGTATAGTAGTTTTAATTGAAAACAAATTATATGTATACATAAGTAGGAGCTCCGTATATCAGATACAAGTTAAGCTCAGTTAGTATATGCATCAGCTTTTATTACAATAAATTAGTCTAAGTTATTATGCGATTGAATTATGGTGAAATAAATAAAGCTATTTCAACACATAAATTATATGCTTAAATAAAATAGCTACAAAAGTTATGTCAACATTATTATAATTTACAAACATTTTAAATAAATATAAATTGGTTCCACTTTGTCTCAAAATAAGAAAAGTTGTGGGATAATAATTTAATTATAGTTAGATAAATGTTTATCAACAATTTTGTGTAACTGCCATTTTGTTAAATTTAAACTGTAATTTATAATCTTCGGAATATTACAGATGTTTATAATGTAGTAGAATGATTAGCTTTCAAAACTTTATTAGTTTCAAGTACTTTATGTTATATTTTGTAATGAGATTAAACTTAAAACAATTAAACACACATTTATAGTTTTAGTGTATTAAGATTAAGCACCCGTAGTGTTATCAAAAAAACTATTTAATTTTCCACACTTCCGTAATTATTAATTTCTCATAAAAATTAACATATATGTTTAATTAAACTAAAATAATAAATAAACATATTTTATTTTGACTGTAAATGTATAAATGTTATTTGTTATACTGTATTAATAACTTAATTAATGAAATAAATAAATAATAATGCATTCATTATTTAACAAAAATACAGTGTTTTTCCTACAAATAAAGACAATACATTATATTTTTTTTTTCATATAATAAAGGAAAAAATATCCATTTTATGTAATTTCACTTTCTAACATCAAGTAAAAATATAATTTAAACCATCGTGCTATTTTTTTTAATATTTAATATAAATGTAGACACGAATGGTATTTATTGAGCATGTAAACAATTAAGATACAGTAAAAAAAATAATAGACATAAATCTAGTAAAAAGTTTTATGTTAAAATGATTAAATATTATTTAATTATTTAAATTTATTTTCTTTTATGCTGTATGGTTGTTTTACAAGGTTTTGAAGAAATTACAAAATATGTATAAGTTAAACAGATATTTTCATATAGTTTTGATTTTAGTTATAACAAAAGATGGCATTCCTTTCAGAAACTTTTTTTTGGAAGTAATAAAGGAATGTATTAAAATCAGTAAGACATATAGATTCACAAAGATAACTTGACTTTAAAAATTAAAAAAAAATAATTTTGGTATCTTCTTATTATATAAAAAATTGACATTGAATAATTTTTTTTTTTTGGTCCCTTCAAAAGTGTTATCAAGTTTTGACTAATACTTAGATTACAATAATTTTAGATATAAAACAATATTTATCGTAGTAAAAAAAAATAAATAATTATATGTTTAAGTATTTTTTATTTTATTAATATTATCTCATAGTCACAATAGGAATTAATTTCATTGAGTTAATTACTTAACCGTTTTAATATAATATTTTTCATATACGATTAAAATTAAAATATCTACTATAAATACACTTAAAAGTCTGTAAAATCATTTACCAATGTTTCATGGCACATTCTCGTGGATTTGTTTTTGATGTGCTCTACGTGTAAAAGACATATGTAACAACCTTGTGCGATGTACTCTTAAATACATTTAACTATCTAGATCTTATAAAATATACTTGTACATATACAGCATACATATGTGTTTAGGGAAAATTATTTGTAAACAAAGTTTTCCAGTATTTACAATTTTTATGACATAAACGTAAGAACAATGGTAACACAAACTTCTAGTGTTTATTTTAGTTTCTGGTCAGATCGATGAATGTATGGATTTTAGAACGAAGTGTAATTTTTCTTTTTGTCATCACATTTTGAGAAGGTGAATATGCTTTGATTTTTAACATTGAGGGTAGCTGCTGGTAGCAAATTGCTTATAGGCAGTACTTTAGAGATTAAATATACATGCTTTTTACTTAATAATTTAATTTAAGTCATCAGTTTTATAAAGATAGCAATTTAAATTAATATTAAAATAAAGAAATAGAATAACTTAAAAAAAAGTGATCACAAACATTTTATTCAACAAGATGTTGATATCCATATTTTATGTGTGCTTTCAGGACACAAACAATACAATTATTTAAATACGAACACACATACATACCCGTTGTCTATGCACATAATAAATAAATAAATTACATTGAAAACAGCAGTGGAATATAAAATCATTGCCCCAGTGACCATCAATACAGAAATAGAATTAAACCGTACAAACGCAATTACCAGATTCTCGTCGGACTAGAAAATTGACTTTTATGTAATACATATACTCATGTCTAATACATAATAATCATCAATTCAGAAAATATAATTTATGATTAACATTCAAAAATTATAATTGTATAACATATTTACTATATATCATTCACAGTCATTCACAGTATTCACATTATTATCTATTTCCAACTAGGTATTTATTATTTTTTATTTTACTACTTAGGGTCGTAAATAACGTTAGTTATTTGTTTTTCTATAATATATTTTGTAAAAAATAAAAATAATACGTATAAAAAAACGTAGATATATAGTTTATATACCTACATCATTTATTACATTTTGTGATAATTTAATAGTGTTTAAAAATTAATTTTTCTTTGT